CTCTCTGGAACTTGACAATTTGATTCTTAAATATATTAGATAGAGGGGGAAAGCAATCAAGGTCCATCAAGAAATTCCTAAGAAAGAAGAATAAGATGGGTACATTTTACTTACTATTCATGGAGATGAATTTTTAAAGCTGTGGTAAATCAATGTGATCTTAGTTCTGGCTAAGACCAAACAGACCAAGGAAACCAAATGAAAAGTATAAAAACTAAACCACACATACACCATGAATAAATGAATGTATAAATAGAAGTAGTATTTGCATATCAATGGGGATGTAATTGACTCTTTCCTAAATTGTTCCTATTAATTGATTTATCACAGGGAAAATGAAAATTGCTCGAATTTAGCTAAGCAATAATAGCAGACAGTTTTCCAAATACATCAGCTATTTATATGTGAAAGATGAACATCTAAAACAGTCCAAAAATTTAAGAAAAATATAGTTGTCTTCTTATGATCAGGCAGGTTTTCTTAAGCTACATAAAGGAAAGTGTAGAAGTATGATATGATAAATTAGAAATGAGAGTAAAAGACATGTGATCATCTTAATAGATGCAAGAATACTTTTGACAATATTCAACACCCATTTATGATTTAAAAAAGAAAAAAAATTCTCCAAAGTAGGCACAAAGGGAACCTACTTTTACATAATAAAGGCCATATATGACAAACTCACAGCTAACATCATATTCAACAGTGAAAAGCTGAAAGCATTTCATCTAAGATCAGGAACAAGAAAAAGCACTCTCACCACTTGTATTCAATATAGTTTTGGAAGTCTTAGCCACAGCTATCAGACATCAAAAAGAAGTAAAAGGCATTCAAATCAGAGAGGAAGAAGTAAAATTGCCACTGTTTGCAGGTGACATAAAAGTATACATGAAAAATATCCTAAAGATACTACCAGAAAACGATTAGAGCTTACTAATGAATTCAGTAAAATTGCAGCATACAAAATTAACAAACAGAAATGTGTTGCATTTCTCAGTTCAGTTCAGTCGCTCAGTTGTGTCCAACTCTTTGTGAGCCCATGGACTGAAGCACCCCAGGCTTCCCTGTACATCACCAAATCCTGGAGTTTAGTCAAACTAACGTCCATTGTGTCAATGATGCAATCCAACTATCTCATCCTTTGTCATCTCCTTCTCCTACCGCCTTCAATCTTTCTCAGCATCAGGGTCTTTTCAAATGAGTCAGTCCTTTGCATCAGGTGGCAAAAGTATTGGAGCTTCAGCTTCAGCATCAGTCCTTCCAATGAATGTTCAGGACTGATTTCCTTTAGGATGGACTGGTTGGATCTCTTTGTTGTCTAAGGGACTCTCAAGAGTCTTCTCCAACACCACA